CTATATTCGTTTTTGGAGATGACTCATTTGACCATATCTAGGGTTCAAATTGAACTTTTTTTTTGTTTGGGTATAGATTATTGAGATGAAGAGAGTGTGTATGCAAAATTTGATGTTATACAAATACCACAAACATGGTTTTCTAGAAGTATCGTTGCATAATACTATAACACAACTGTTGCATTGGATCGCTTATATATATATATATATATATATATATATATATATATATATAATGAGGTCATCTTTCTATTCATTGACTCTCTTTTATTCTAGAAGTTGTATTGGCCTGGCTTAAGTTGCTACAGCCTTAAATAAGAATACAGCCAAATATGAATGATACTCATTCTTATTTAAGGAGTTATTGTATTTCAATTTTACAAATTTCTATGAGTCTGCTATTCATTTGCATTGGCTTGGCTTTAGTTGGAATTTTCTGTTCCTTAAAGCTTGGTTCATAAGGAAGTTCCACAATGTATTGCTTTATATTCCAAAAAGCGTTAGGGATTTTTGCACAAACTTTTTTTTCTAATATTGTTTTGAAGTTATTGATTTTATTTTGTATTTGTGGAGATTTTAATTTTTCATCAATAGTTTTATACTTTACTTCTTCTTTTAAATGAAAAATAAATATTTTTTTTGTAAAAATCTTATTTTTGAGGCTGTTTATTTCGTGAATTCTTGGTTTATCAATGAAGTCAAATTTTACTTCATATCCTTCAATATCCGTTTTTATCCCAGTATTATCAATTCTAATGGGATATAGCATGTTTGAGAAGAGAGTTCCTAGAATCACAGGCTTGCTTAATCCTTTAACCATTATAAAGGGAAATTTAAAGCATGCACCATTATTGTAACTGCTGCATCGAATAGTTTATATTTTATTATCATTTTACTACCATCAGCAGTATTCAAAACCTGGGTTGTTCTACTGAAATATTTGGTTGGAACTAGTCCTTCATTTATACAGTTTAGATCAGCTCATGAATCGATAAGAGCAGTAGTTCGAAAAGTGAATTCATTTCGTACTACTATCTTTATGATGGTAAACCACATTTGGGTTATCACTTTATTCGTGAGGCTTACATATTTATAATCTTGTATTTTTCTTAATATATTACAGTTATTGGAAGTTTGTGGATTGTCTATTACTTTTGGGAGTGTATCTTCCACTTCGGGTGGTAGCATATTGTGATTATAATCATGCATTAGATTATTAAATTATTTTTCAGAATTTTTATCCTCATTTCCACTTTCATTTATAGTGGTTGCTACTTCAAGAATTTGTACTCTAGTTTTTAGAGTTATCAGTTCATTTCGTACCTCATTTATTTTATTTTTTAGATCATGAATTGTAGGCTCTTTTTGGTGTTGAGTTCTATTTTGAACTCTTTTCAAAATATCACTAAAGTTGTAATATTCATTAGTAGGAACAAGAGTTGGTTTAGGAACAAGATAACTTGAAGGTTCTTTGGCCATGTTGATATAATGAATTAAGGTTTTTTTTTCTTCTCAGGGTCACTTATTTTATCAATTAGGTCAATTATGAGATTTTTCTTCCTTAGTAAAAGTATTTAAGTTTAGGTCTTTCAAAAAGCTGCACTGGCAATTTATCTCTTCATAATCTGTTTCAGAATCTGAACTGGAGAAAATCAATTCTCCATCATTCATCTCTACGATGAGCATTTCTTCATCAGAGTCAGAAGATTATTTAGAATCATCTTTTTTAATTAAGAGGATATCAAATAATTACTTTTTTATTTCAATGCCTATTTCTAAAGCATTTATTTTATTTTTCACATGACATTTATTTTTATAGTGTCCTATTTTTCCACAGTTATAGCAAATTGAAATTTTCCTTTTTGCCCTTTTGTTTAAAGGAGTGACCTTGTAAGAATTTCTTAGGAAATATATTTTTCTTTTCTTTTGAATATCTAGACTTTGTCTTTCTAGAATCTGTAGAGACTCTAAATTTTTGTTTGTGAGAGGGCTTGGAAGTAGGTATTGTATTAAAGCAGAATTGCTCACAAAAATTTCCCAATTCTTTTTTTCTTGTCAGTTTTTGTTTCTCCGATTGTCTTTTCAATTTTAAGTCTGTGCATAAAACAAGTCATTCAGCACATATTTCTGCTGATAATTCTCCAACAGTGTACAAAGAATAAGGAATAATTCCTCCATGCTTATTTTCCAATATTATCTTAACCGTTTCTCCAAACAAATGAGGAAGGGAAACAATGAATTTTTCTTTCCAATAGTCAGCTTTACTATCTTCTCTGGATCGCAGTCTGGAATAAAATAC